TCAAGCTGAAACACTGAATAAAGAATCTGTGTGTAGTGGTCCTATTTCAATAATCTCACAGGGATCGAACTTTATATTCCTTGAACCAGTGTCCCACACCCTTAGTAACTTTTCCTATTCATATTCTCCAGGTGTCTTTATAGATTAGAAAACTCCAGCAATGTTTTACTAGTGAACTTCTTCCTTGATCACCATTTATACCTTGCAGCAACTCTCTGAAATTTAATTCTGGTTATAGATCTAGAAACAATAATGGGTGCTGACAGTGTGTTATCCTGAGGCTTTCAGAAATGTCTTGCAAGGCATCTGCCCCAGGCAGTGCTCCAGATGTAGTCCAATGTGGCATCTCAGCATGCACTGTTGGGTTGGTCTCCTCAAGGGTAGTTTGTTTTACTGAGAGTGGATTAATCTCCTCAGTTGAGAGGAGTGGAACTTTTGACTGGTGTGGCTCAGTGGAATCTAGTTGCTTTCTGATCATCAGAACCTAATCCCCCATCTCTTTTTTTCCCTAATTGATACCCTTACTTTAATATTGGACACTGTTCTAGGTTTTGAATTAATCTGACCCTATAATTCGGCTTCTCATGAGATTCTGGATTTGGTTTTTGGCAATATCAGCTATATCTAGAAGTTTTCTTTCATGGAACAAGTGGAAGCTTTTAGGCCTTTTATGTGGTACTTGAGCCATGCTTCCACAGTTCTGAGTTCATCCCTTTCCTTTGCCATATTTTCTCTTGTAAGGCATACCAGCCAACCAGCTTCCCTATACTTCTCAACTTGACAAAGTTGCTGAAAAATATCACACACATGATCACCCACAGCCTCATCTCCAACCAACACTCCATTTATTCATGGTGATATTTAGGATATTTATTTTATCACTTCACATCATGATTTTTTTTAGTTTTATCGGTACATAATTCATATATCATTAGTTCAATTCAATCATATACAGAAATGTGCATTCATTACTTGAATCAATTTTTGAACTTTTTTTTTCATGATTAAGTTGCTTTTAAATGAGTTGTGTAATCCCCATCAGTTCTAGGGCTCTCTCCATCTTCCCACATACTTTGTTTGCTCCCCACAACCCCCAACTTCCTCATCCTCCCCATCTCCTACTCCCAACCCGACCCCTACATCCCCTATAAATCCTTGCATCAGTTATTGTCTCTATGCATCTACTTCTTCTGTGCTTCACAAACTGGAAAAACCCACACAAACAATATCAACAGAAACAAAATAAAGTGGTAATGATAAAATAATACTACAAGGATAAAAATATAAAAAATCAGTAAGAAAGAAAAGGCCACTACCAGTATTTAAAAGACCTTTGAGGAAATTTTTGTCATGGAACAAGCAGGTTGTTCAGGTTGGGTCAAGAGGGGGATCACAACCATAGATTAACAAAGCCCTCCTTAATAATAGTGGCAGACTTACCTATACGAGCAGAGGCAGAAGCAGCATTCACAATACCTTTAGGCCAATTCAGGCTTGCGAACAAATTTAGAAAACTCACCTTTATGATTTTCTTTCTCTAGAAAAGTAAAACCATGATACTTATAAATGTATATAAGTAGAGAAGTTTATATTGTAAAAGGAGTTTATAACAGGAAAATGCCCACACAGCCAGAGAGAGAGGGAGACACCAGTTGGACCCACTTTTGTGGGTCAGGTGATGTGTTGAATCTCCTCCCAACTCACACAGTTACCAGGCCCAAGAGCCAAAGAAGCAAGAGGTAGAAGGGTGAAGCATGACAAAGTGTCTAGTGGTGCAGTGAGGCAATGTAAATCACAGTGGGACCTCATGGTTGTATTAAGCAGTACAACAAGCCCAGGCTAGAAGGGAGGAAAAAGAGGGACCCAGCTAGCTCTCCACCAAACCCCATCCAAATTCATCGCCATTGAGCTGATTCTGACTCTTAATCACCCTATAGGATAGGGTAGAACTGCCTCTCTGGGTTTTCAAGACTGTACACCTGTATGGTAGTAGAAAGCCTCTTCTTTCTCCTATGGAGTAGCTGGTGGTTTTGAACTTAAGACCTTGCAGTTAACAGAACCACATGTAACCATTATACCACCAGGCCTCCCAGCCCTACACAGGGTCTCCTTATAGCTAGGTCATAGCCTTAAGCAGAAGTGACCAGGTTGCAATCTGATTGATAGGCTAGCCTCCACTCATATTTTCTTCCAGCTCAAAACAAACAAACAAAAGTAACCATCATAAGATCGTATGAGAAAGATTGAAAAAATGCCCATTAAATTAGGCACTTGGAGGTCATTGGCCACCTTAGTGAAAACAACTTCAGACTACTGATGGAGTTAGAATCCAGAAGAGAGTGGTTTATAAGTAGGAATCAGAATGTATGGAAATTGACACATTAGCTATAGATGATCTTTTTGAAGGGTGGAGGAAATTACAGCAGGCAAAGTGTGGGAAATTATAGGAGGACTCCCCCCCTTCCCCTGCCATCCCCAAACATGGGAGAGACTTCAGAAAGCTTAAAATTTGATGGATGATCCAGTTCTTTGAGCTCATGATAGGAGTGATCATCAATAGCCCTTTATGTCTAATAAGGCACCAGTGGAAGGACTAGTCCTATATTGAAGGAGAAATCGTTTCTCTTTTGTAACAGAAGAGGCGTCCAGTATGGTGTACTTTCCTGAAGACACATTTAGTGTTGCTATATCAGAATGTAGTATTTCCTCCCTAAAATTTACTACTGCTCCTGTACTACCAAATATAATTAATAATAATGCTTTTCTCCCCCTACCTATCTCACAGAACTTCTTTCTCTTCTGTATGTTCCCCTCATCAACTATTCCATTACAAATGTTATCGATCTTATCTTCGTAATGTTGCTTGAATCTGAGTTATCCTTTTAATTTATTTCTATTTCCCATAAATGAATGCATACTTTTATTAGTAGTTAAATGTCACTTCTTTCTTGAAGCCATCTCTATTTCTTTCAGCCAGAATAACAGTTCATGTGTTTCACAGCACCAAAATCAAAACAGAAGCAGAGACAAAGCCAAAATAGAAATTACTGCCTTATTGCAATCAATAATATGAAACAGGAAAAAAATGTATGTGAATTCTTTAAAGGAAAATGAATTTGATCTTTTTTTGTTTTGTTTTTCTTTATCTCATATTCTACTCTTATTATTTTAAACATAATTTTATTGGAGGCTCTTACAACTCTTGTTACAAACCATACATGAATTGTATCCGACATATTCCTATATATATTCCATCGCTCTTTTTTAGACATTTACTTTCCATTGAGCCCATGGGATCAGCTCTTTTTTCCCTCCCTCCCCCAAATGAATTTGATCTTTAAACCTTTTTGCATTCACAATAAACTTTATTTTTTAAATTGCCTATGAATCACCCTTATGCTTCTTTAAACAACATATTTCATTTTTTGATTTTTAACTAGCCTATCCCTTTATTCCTTTTATCTATATTTTATAAAACATGTATTCTAAGTAGTTATTTCCCTTTCTACACCTGGTTTAAGTTTATCCCACCACTGAAATGGCTGAATAATGGTGGATTTATCATATTTACCAATCAGCCTTGTGGGTGATCTGATAACTAGAAAAGCAATAGGTGGGTTGGAAGAAGTTTCCTTTAAGATCTATTATGCTTTTTTTAGGTGCCATAGAATCATTTTCGACTCAGAGAAACACAACAGAACAAAACACTGCCTGGTAATGTGCCATCTTCACAATTATTACATTTAAAATCATTTTGTAGCGATTTTGTCACTCCATCTCCTAGAGGGTCTTTCTCTGTTTTCACTGATTTTATTAAGCATGGTGTCCTTTCCCAGGGACTGCTCCCTTCTGGTAATATGTCGATATTTTAGAGCTTCTTTTAAAATCTACGCCACCCTCTACTTGTGGTAGATTCTTTTAGAACTGGGTTTTCAGAACACCAACAAATTAGTATTACCCAGAATCATGCCAGGAACCAAGTAAAATGACCGAGCTCTACTTAACATCCAGTTGAATTTGTTTTTCAATAAGACTGCCTTTTCTAATTTAACATTTTAGTTGCCCATGGTTTTCTGGCTCTACCAACAACAAAACAAAACAAAATTGCTGCCCTTGAGTTGCTTCTGATTCAGAGACCCTCTAGGGCAGGTCCAAACTGTCCCTGGGGACTTTCGAAATTGTAACTCTTGACAGGCGTAGAAAGCCTCATCTTTCTCCCAGAGAGGGGCTGGTGGCTTTGAACTGCTGACCTTGAAGTTAGCAGCCCAATGCATAACCACTACGCCACCAGAGCTCCTACAAACCTAAAATACATAGTCAAGTCCACCCTTTTTCTTTTGCACTTTATCCAACGCAAACGAAATCCAATTCTTATTACTACAAGGTTGACAAGTCCTTTAAGATCTGGGACTATTCCCTAGTCCTACAACTTCTGTACGTTTTATTTGTTCACCAAGAGAAAGGCGTCAGATTACTTGGTAAAATTTGGCCAGCACGAAGGTGTTAAGAGTGCGCAAGGGCAATTTCTGTTGACCACTGTTTTCCTACCCACCTCCACATCCTCCAGTCAATGAGGCAGCTTTAGCCCATTTTTCCCCCAGTCATCTGGTACACCTGCTCTAAAGGTCACGCCTTCAGATTCTCTGGACCACCAGAGGCCCGTTGGAACGGTCGCCACGCACCCTTCCGTTTGGTGCAAGCTCTACGCCCTGCTCCCGTCGAGAGACTAAGTCCAGCCCCCTCACGCCCTGGCACCGCCCCTCCAGTTCCCCGACGTCCCCGGGCCTGCGCCTGCGCCTGCGCTCTGCGACCAAAGCCGCGTCGCTGGGTGGATGAAACCTGGAGAGCGGCGGGCGGCGCAGCCAATGGGAGGTGGCAGTGCCTAGAGGCTGGGAGGCGGGGCCTGCGCGGGTATCAGGTTAGCGCGAGGCGTGACCTAGTTGACAGGTTCTGAGGTGCCGCTGTAGCAGCGGTCGCCGGCTGAGGCGAGTGCGAGCAGAAGGCAACTGCGGGCTAGGGAGGAGGGCGGCGACTGGCAAGTGAGGAGCGGCGTGGGACCCAGACCCTCGTTCACTTTTTCCCTCCCGTGTGCCCCCTCCCACCCCTCCCACTCCACACACACCCTGTTTGCCCGTGAGCCTGGGGAACTTGCAGTTTAAAGCCAGCCACCCCCACGGCAACATGTACCCCAGCAACAAGAAGAAAAAGGTGTGGAGAGAGGAGAAAGGTAACCGGCCCGTCGAGTCTTGGGGGTACGGGGTGTGGGGTGGGGTGGGGGTGGGGGTCAGGGCTGTGTGTGCTGTAGCGCCCCCCGCCCGACCCCCTGTCTTGCGCCCCCACCCGAGGGTGCCGCCTCCCGCCTGTGTCCGTGTGGACACGCGTGCACACCGGCGTGCACGCGCTGCCCTGGTACCTGCAGCTGGCACACACCCCTCTCCTGCTGGCCATACCGGCTCACCGCTCACCTCTCTGGTGGACCTGGACACACTCAACTGCCCAACGCAGGCCCCAGGACCCCAGCTACGACTTTGTCATGCCTGCTGGGGTGTCCTTCGGACACGTGCCCGCGGGAGCCTTATGGGCTGCAGAGGCTGCTCTGCCTGTGCCCCGCTGCACACTCTCCTGTTTTGCCAGTAGTGCCCCCCC